AGTAGTCCGCCATAGCCTCGGCCTATGTATGTGAAGAGTGGGGGAGGCGGCCATGGCTATGGTGGACCTTGAGTGATACCTGCAGTAGAAAAGGGGTTCTGGACCAGTTATTCAACATTGTATTATTATTTCTTGTTTGAATAAGAGAAGGGGGAGATAAGGAGGAGGAGATTGTTGGGTGAAGAAGAAGAGCCCTGTCATCATCTTTGCTGGTGTACATCTTCTTCTTCTTCTTTCTCATTTCTTCTTCTTCTTCTACTCCTCTCTCTCCTCTCAAGTTCGTTCATTTCTTTCTGCAATTGAATGGCATTGTACTTCTCAGTGGATGTGTATCTCGAAATTGGCCAGGGTCATAACATTGGTATCAGAGCGGATTCTACTTGCTGGTGAGAGTTGACTTTCTACCCTAACCCTAACCTAAGTGGTTGAGGGCAACACTTAGGGTTAGGGTTGGATGGTTGAGGGAAGTGGGGCAGCGTGGCTAAGGGAAGCTGCCCCCACCTGGTTAGGTCATGTGGGGTCAACATAGACCCTAACCAGGTTGCTTGAGAGTGAGATTAGGGTGGCGAGACATTTCGAGGAGACTTCATGCGACAATTTGAGAGAGGCGACAGTGAGAGGCACTCACACCTGGAATCTGATTCAAGGGAAAGACTTAAGGGCTGCCCTCAAGGAGACGAGCTTGAGGGTCAGCGGCCATTCTGCATCAACAGACTGCAAGTTGCTACTTTGTTCTTCAGCATCGACGGGGGATCCGGCGTTGCACTTGGGTGTTGGAGTCAGACCCTCCTAGGAGATAGGACACTTGTGTAGGGGTAGCGTTAGATGGGTCAGGAGGACCATATGAGAAGGGGGGTGAGTTCTCTTCATCTCGAAGCTCAAGGCCACTCAGGTAAGTGTCGTGCACCTACGGGATGCCTATGTATATGTGTATGGTATTGACTGTCCTGCTGGGGTACTCTGGGTTTCTTTTCCTACTCCTCTGTGGTCTTGATTGTGTGACTGAATGCATGTGATCTACCTACTCACCTGATGGATGGAAAATGAAGTATCTTGTTATACATGCCGAGTCTTTCTACAGTGCTTTGTCTTTTCATCACTGAACGGTTGTAGTCTGTAGGTTCTGCCAGAAGTTGAAATTTCGTTTTTCAGTGCAGTAGAGACTGAACTAAGTTCAGGTGGGACTCCTCTTGGTTGGGACCTGGTTGAGACCTGCGTGGGACCCTTGGGACCAAGCGGAACCCTTGGGACCCAGCGGAACCGGGCCCAAACAAGGAGAGCCCTTGGACCCAAAATCGGTTAGGCAATTGACCTCTTGTCTTCTTGGCTGAGATATGGATTCATTCTTCTTGGATTAGGACACCCACTGCCGAGGGGATCTTGGCTTTGACGTTTCGCATGTATTCTGATTGCGCCGTCCGTGGCTTGACTCGCAAACCTTTTCACCACTCAATTCTCCATTGTTGCATTTAGTCACTCGTTGTCTGATTTGTTGTATGGACGCGGAGCTGGTCAGGCTGGACTCGAGAGGACCTCGTATGCGGCCTGATCAGACTGGGTCGCTGGATCAGACCTCTCTTTGTGTTTGATTGTTTCTTTTGTTGTTCCCTACTTCCAAATGAAATGTCGCTCCGGCTAGGAGTTCTAACTTCACTTCTCTGAGCTTTATCTGTTTTTCTGAGTTCATTTTCGATGCCCGTGGAGACACGCAATCTGAGTAAAGAAAGAGAGAGGAGGGAGAGAGAACAGGGAGAGAGGGAAAGTGATAGTCTGAGGTGGGCAAGGACTGGGGAAATGAGTACTCGTCTAAGCGTGAGGGGGAGTGAACCTCTTGAGAGTCTGATTGATTCTTTTGCTGACTGGCGACTCTCTGATCCACCTGCCCACACTGACAGTCCAAAGATGACCCACCTAACTTCAACGGAATGGCGGGCCTTGTTAGATGCAGTCGGTGATGCTGAGAAACCATCTGCAAGCACTCTTAGATGGTGCAATCAAACGGGAACAGGAGTCAGAAAAGGAGAGGAAGGAGACCCTGCTAAGAAGGCAAGTAGCTCTCCTAGAGACTGTTCCCTCACTGACTGAAGAGCAGTGCGGAGAACAGTTGCAGTCCATACTCACAGCCTTGGTTCAAGTCCGAAATCTTGAGGACCATACCACTCAGATCGCTGAAGTTTTTGCGAAACTGCGGACTCTTCAGGATGATCTGACTGAGATGACCCGCAAGTATCATGACTTGACCAAGGAGGTGGCTGACCTGCGACAAGCCCAAGTGGCCAACCCTCTCCCTCTACCTCCTGGAACTGAAGATGCAATCGAAACTACCTCTGCCCCTCTTACTGTATCTTCTTCTACCTCTTCTTCGAGTGTGATGGCAACTTCTTCAGGACCTGCAGCAGGTGCAGATTCCACTGTTGCTGTAACAAGCAATGAGGCTAGAATTTCTGCAATTGCTGCAGCCCGAAGACCGGAACCAGCTGCTGCTGGTCCCAGCCACGCCAGTCCCTATGTGGACCGGAAGGCGGTTCAAATACCGTCCAAGTACGATGGCAAGGAAGACATTGAGTCCTCGATCGGCTCCATGAGGGCCTACTTTGAGATCCTGGGGACTCAAGCTGAGACCCAGGCAGTTATCATGGGTATGAATGTCGAGCCAGTCGTACGGGGCTTCCTAGAAGTCCAAGCAACGCGGGCTGGGTTTCCAAAGGCTGCACTGGCCAAATGGCTAAGGGCCACCCCGGTTGCCTCTCTCGAAGAACTCCTTACCTCAGAATACCAAGATCCACATGTTGTTGCTAAAGCAAGAATTCAACTGGATAAAGTTAAGCACAGCAAGTGGAATGGCTCCATGAAAGGCCTGCAAACCTATCTAAGCAAGTTGTTTGCCACTCCTGGCTTGGAATTGTCCCCTCAATGTTGCTTGGATGTGGTCAAGGGCGCAGTCCCAACTCACTTTACTAGTCGCCTGGGCACGGGCTACATTGCGTACACAGACTGGCTCGCTTTAATGAAGGATGTAGTCGGTCTGGAGGCCATGGACCTCGTTAGCACGGCAGGCAGCAAGAAGCCTATGGGCGGCAGACGGTTCAAGGGCAGCAACCGTTTTGCTGTGCATGACCTGCTTGAGCCTGAAGAAGGAGCCAATGCGGTTGACCCCACTCTTGGTGACGACCAAGAACAGGATTCCGATACGACTTGTTCTTCAGCCCATGAGTCCGATGCAAATAACGAAGAAGAAATTTTTTCTGCCTTTAAAAAGACTGCCAACACTTAGGGACAAAATCGGAATACCGAAAAGAGTTATGTCCAACTCCCCAAAGGAGTTAAGATCCCGCCTAAACTGGAGGATGCATCTACCAAACCTTGGGTAGACCTCCGGATCACTGAAAATGACTGGCGGGGCCGACTCAAGAAAGGGGTTTGCCTGCATTGCCAAAAGCCAAGTCACAAGGTCCAAGACTGTTATAGGCTGCAGGGAAACCAGAACCGGGCGTAGAGTCAGATTCAGCAAACTCTACAACAGGGGAGTCAGGATCTGATGAAAATCAGCAGCCCTCCCTTGAAGCCCAACCATCTGCTGAAAACAAGGCTGAGGTGAGTAAAGTGTTGCATGACGAGCCTTGGGAGGAGTCTGAGATGATTGACTTCCACTACCACTTGGAGCATTGGGTTGAAATGAAACAGCACCGTGCCCAAGGGACAGTGAAGTTAATCTTCTGTAAACTTCTCATAAACCACCGCTATCTCCGTGTGTTAGTTGACTGTGGTGCCACAGTTAATTTCATGTCACCACATGGGATACGCAAGGTGGGCTTGGGGATGAAGCAAGTGGCCCTGCAGAACCCTTGCCGGACCCAAGTTGGCAACAAAGAAGTTGTCTCTTCTACTCATGCAGTCCAAGGTGTGCGCACTACCTTTGACAAAGGTAAGACTGTCACCCATGCACTGAACTTCTTTGTCCTTGACAAGTGCCCCTTCGACGCTGTCCTTGGCTTGGGCTGGCTGCAGTCCCAATGCGAATGGACCAAGTGGAAGGAATCACTCTTCATGGTCAAAGATGCTCAGGGGAACGAGCTTCCTGTCCTGTTGGATGAGAAGCACGAATCCCCAGTGACTTTTCTAAATGCACGAATCCCCAGTGACTTTTCTAAATGCATTAAAATATTGCAAGAAATGGCGCAAGCACAAGAAGGAAGAACAGTTGTATGTTGCCTTTGTTCGTCCTGCTCATGTGCCTTCTACTTTTGCGGCCAATACCACTACTACTTTGATTAATGATCCTACTTCGAGTAATTCTACTACTAGCACCTCTACCTCTCTACCCTCTACTAGTCCAAATGATCCTACTTCAGATTCGGTCGTCTCTATACGCGACTTGCGACCGGACTTTGGTGATCCCTTTGCTGATTCCCCACCCCCACCTGTCCCATCAGACATCCAAGCCCTCCTCGATCGGTTTCCGGAAGTCTTGACCGAGCCACGTGGAGTCCCCACGCGACCGGTTCGACACACCATCGAGTTGATCGAGGGTGCTGTTCCTCCAAAGGGTTGTGTGTACCGTATGGGACCCGTCGAGTTGGAGGAACTCCGACGACAGAGTGAATCAGAATTTGGTGCTCCTGCGTTTTTTGTGCCAAAGAAAGGAGACAAACTCCGCATATGTATCGACTACCGCGGTCTAAACCGCATCACAAGAAAGAATGCTTACCCATTGCCTCGTATAGATGACTTGCTTGATGCCGCAGGCGGATGCAAGGTCTTCTCCAAGATCGATCTCAAGTCTGGCTACCACCAGATTGAAGTCGATCCTGCGGACCAGCACAAGACTGCGTTCAAAACGCGCGACGGGCTTTATGAGTTTACCGTAATGCCCTTCGGTCTTACGAACGCACCAGCCACGTTCCAAAGCCTCATGGACAAGGTCCTCCGCGAACAGATTGGCCGGTTCGTGGTAGTGTACCTGGACGATATCCTGATTTTCAGCAAGTCCATGGAGGAACACCTCAAACATCTTGAGGAGGTACTTGCCGTCCTCAAGAAGACGCAGCTCCATCTCAACTTGGAGTACACATCTAGATGTGTATAAGAGACAGGACAAGGTCCTCCGCGAACAGATTGGCCGGTTCGTGGTAGTGTACCTGGACGATATCCTGATTTTCAGCAAGTCCATGGAGGAACACCTCAAACATCTTGAGGAGGTACTTGCCGTCCTCAAGAAGACGCAGCTCCATCTCAACTTGGAGAAATCCGAGTTTATCCTGATTTTCAGCAAGTCCATGGAGGAACACCTCAAACATCTTGAGGAGGTACTTGCCGTCCACAAGAAGACGCAGCTCCATCTCAACTTGGAGAAATCCGAGTTTGGGAGAGATAGCGTCATCTATCTTGGGCACCGGTTGTCTGTTGCGGGCCTAGAGCCTGAGGCAACCAAGATTGAGGTCATACGCGATTGGCCTCAGCCTGTGAACATTCGTGAATTGCGTTCTTTTCTTGGTCTCGCGTCGTACTATCGAAAGTTTGTACCCCGTTTTTCTATCATTGCTCATCCATTGTCGCGACTAACCAGCAAGAATGTGTCTTATTCCTGGGATGCCGAGTGTACGAAAGCATTTCGAACTCTCAAGGAAGCCTTGGTAAGTTACCCGGTACTCCGCATTGCAGACCCCAAACTGACCTTCGTAGTCACTACGGATGCAAGTCAGTATGGGATCGGCGCGGTGTTGCAACAAGATGATGGCGATGGCCTGTGGCCACTCGAGTACTACAACAAACGAATGCCCAGCGTAAAGGTAGCCACTTCCACCTACATGCGCGAGCTCTACGCTTTGCGCATGGGGTTGGATCACTGGAAACATTACCTTTTGGGACGCCACTTCAAAGTGTTCTCAGATCATGAGACCTTGAAGTGGATCAAAATGCAGACTACTCTGTCCCCTACCTTGCTTTGCTGGTTTCATGAGATTGACATCTTTGATTTTGAATTAAGACATAAAAAGGGTTGTTACAATCGAGTCATTGACGCTTTGTCTCGCCACCCTGAGTACATGACTTGCCTTGTGAAATCCTACGACCTCCGGAAGAAATTGAAGGAGGACCTCGTAGAGTAGACAGCCAAGGATTCGGAACTCAGTTCCATCCTTGAGCAGTTGCGGGCTGATCCTAGTAGTCAGTTGCGGGCTGATCCTAGTAGTCAGCCTGATTTCCACGAGTATGGAGGACTGACTTTTCGCCGATATGGGAACCATGACCGTTTATGTGTGCCCAACCACGAGCCTCTCCGCACACACTTTCTGGACTTGGCTCATGGCCGGAGCGGGCACTTCGGCATGGCAAAAACGTACGCTAACCTGCTGAGATAGTTTGATTGGCCTGGCATGAAAGGGACTGCTGAGAAATTTATAGCTGAATGTCAAGTCTATCAACGAATCAAACCATGTAGACAAAAGCCCATGGGGCTACTCACACCCCTACCCATTCCTGATGGTCCCGGGGAATTTGTCTCCATCGATTTCACTGGCATGGGTAAGGTAAGCAAGAATGGGTTCTCACAAGTCATGGTGATTGTTGACCGATTTTCAAAGTTTCTTAATCTGATCCCTCTACCGCCTCACGCCCCAACAGATCTAGTGATTCGCGAATTCCAGCAGAAATACCTGCTGCAATTTGGAACCCCGAAGACTCTTGTGAGCGATCGGGACCCGCGGTTCATTAGAGCTGAATGGAAGGAGTTCACGTCCCACCTAGGAATCGAACTGTGCATGACATCTGGCCGACACCCTGAAGCCAACGGTTTGGCTGAGGAGATCAACCAGACTGTGTTCCAACTACTCCGTGCTTTGATCATTCCTGATCAGGAAACATGGGATGAGGAGCTGTATTCTGTCAAGGGGTTGTACAACAACTCTGTCCACTCTGCCACCGCCACGACGCCCAACAGGCTGCACTACGGGTGGCAGATCCGCAATCCGCTCTCCTACTTGTTCCCTGAACAGCCAGCTGGTTTAACACCCGGCAGGCCCGGCTTCAGGGCTAAGTATGATCGCTTGCTCAAAGTTGCTGTTGCAGCTATGACCAAGCGACAACATGCCATGATTCATCATGCGAACAAGAAACGCAAACCATCGGAGATTCAGGTAGGAAGTTATGTCTGGGTAAAGATGTTTGAATTCTCAGAGGAGGAGGGAGTCTCACACAAACTCCTCCCACTCTACTACGGGCCTTGGGAAGTTTTGGATGTAATCGGGGAAGATCATTTTGGCCCTTCGTACGTTGTGGACGTGCCAGCTCACCTGCGCATATATCCTGTATTTCATGCTTCTAAACTGAATCTCCATCGTGATGCCGAGACATTTGATTACCGCGAAGATATGATCCCTCGCGCAATCAAGGGCGGGCATGAGATAGATAGAATTAAACAGCATGTAGCAAAAGGAAGAAACAGACAGTACCAGGTTCATTTCATGTATCACCCGTTAGATGATCTCTACTGGATCTCCAAACAGGAACTGCTGCGCAGCGCACAGCTTGTTGTTAAAGCTCGACAGATCGCCGCTAACGCCACACCAAAGATCGCAGCAAGGCTCACTGCGACAGAGTATTCCAGGAATCTCTTTGCCTTGCTTGCCAACGATGCGTTTGCCGAGGACTCAGATTGAGTTACTCGCTCGAAGGGACCTCGCTCTTGAGGGGGGGGTAGTGTGATAACCCGTCCAAACACGGACTGAAACACACAGCTGATTGGCAGGGGGGGTAGTGTGATAACCCTACTCAGTTCCCCGCCTGCTAAGTCTGTGTGTGTGTGTGCTTGCTGGAGTGCATGTCTGTCTGAGTGCTGGTTGGCTTGCGTGTGTGACCATGCCTGTCTGAGTGCTGGTTGGTATGAGT